AACAAACCCCCCAAAACAAACCAAGCACCACAAAATAGAAGAGAAAATATCAGAGTGCATCGCATACAGTAAGGGTAAGCTTAGTTTCATGAACATATAAGCATTTCTTTTGCTTCTATTATCTTTTACATAGGTCATGCTCCCCAAAGTCTTAAAACTGTAGGATGAGGCACGCTCCTTAGTTTAACCATAACAATTGGGCATAATAGTTAAGCACCAAGTATGTACCAAAAACTGGGCTAATTGTTTTTCTAAATATTAATCTTTGATTCTTACAGGTATTGACATTCCTATTAAATTTATGAAAAAGGTGAGGCTCAAATTAAGTGATTTGCCAAATGTTTTATAGTCCACCAGGTTGCCATAATAAAATACCATAACTGGGTGGCTTAAACAAGGAATTTATTTCTAATACTCAAGGTTCAGATAGAGCTGGGGTCCAGCGCTGGGACTTTGGGCAAAGGGCTTTCCACTCTGTGGAATGGGGCTCTAACAGAGCTGCTCACAGCGTCGAGGTGCTGGGAGGGTAAATGGGATGATGCAAGTGGAAAGACAAGCACAGAGGAAGCCTACAACAGTGAGCCGTGACAGCTGGACTCTCTCCACTGATGTATCCCAGTGCCTAGAACAGTGCTGGCACTTAGTACGCGCTTAGTAAACATTGCAGAATGGACTTTTAAATTGTCATTATTAGTGAGCAGAGCACCTGGTTGTCAGCGCTAGCTCTGCTTATCACCACGATGGTACCCTGGGCAAGTTCTGAGCTGGGTGAGCCTGCTCCCTGCCTGTGAAATGAGGATAATAGTGACCCCGACTGTCAGGGTTGATGTGAGCATCACATGAGACAGCCACGGGAGGTCTTTTCCAGCAGAGCCTCACAAATGCTGGGCATCAACCACGGAAGAAAACCCAGGACTTCCTAGCCTCTCAGTGCTGGATTTTCATAGAGTGGGCAAGGTGATATTCGGCAAATGAACACTGTGCTGGAGGAGAAAGGAAGTTGGAGGGTTCACCCCTATCATAGGAGCCGGGAGAACTGGCCTCCGCTGTTCAGGCTCACATGCATCTGTGCAGAGGCAGTGGTGGGCAGGGCGCTGGTGAACAGTGGAGGGGCGCTATCTGTGACCCTCCCTGTTGAGGTGCATTACGATTATACGAAGAAGGCGGAGGGTGGGAACCACGCGGGGCTAGGGCAGCACCCGCCGATGTAGAAGCTAGCATTGCTATGTGTCTTTGAGGGGCTCAGTGGGGAGGACCAGCAGCTGGACTCTGGGAGGGAGCCCTCTCCTGTGGGAGGGATGCAGGGTCCTCATGGACAAGGCCCATCCTGGGGAACTCTTGTAAAGCCCCGGGGACTTTGTGCGCTGCAGAACGTGGGCCAGCAGTCTGCCCATATCTACTTCTGAGAAGATCACAGCAGGTCCAGGGCACAGATGCCAGGAACCCAGGGCTGGGGACTGAGGCCTGGATGTTCAGAAACTGACCATCCCCCAGAAGGAAAATGAGAGTTGGCTGAATGTGTCCCTGGGAAGCTGGTCCACGTCCACCCAGGCCCCAGGCAGGGGTATTTTTGACTCGAAGCAGGGAGAGCTGTATGGGGGAAGCTGCCCTCACTGGTAGCTGCCCTGGAAACATGCCTGCTACCCATCTGCCTGAGCTCTACCCATGCGTCCTTCTTCTCACCAGTCCCAAAGGAGTGAAACACCAACAGGCAGACTTTGAGTCCCTATGGCTGGAAGGGACCCTGAGGATGGTCACTGCATTTACTGCCTGTTCCCGCCTACAGGGACCCAGCACAGGCAGGATGGTGGCTGAGCACCTCACAATAGGTCTTGGGCCCCTTAAGCTACAGCCCTCCCTTCTCCTCGTGCCCAGTGGTGTTGTCTACACTGAGTGTCCACCTCCTTGACCTCCGCCTGAGAGTGTTCTTACCACTCTCCTGAGCGTGTTGTCACCAGTCACCAATAAACTCTGTGTGGCCAAACCCGTTAGCTACTTTCTAGGTCTTAAAATGCTTGATGTGTCCCTTGCCTTTAACATAGTTGACCCTCCCTGATCTCCAGCTTCTATGACACTCTTTCTCCTGGTTTTCTTCTCACTTCTCAGACTGCTCATCCTCTAGCTCCTCTAGTTCTGGCTTGCATGGGCTCTCCTGGTTTTAGTGCCAGAAGTCCCACAGCTGGGAGCCCCTCAGTTCAGGGAAAATGGGGATCATTGCCAACCCTAGACTCACCCCGCCTAGTTGGGATGCTCCATGTCTCACTCTTACCTCTGCTGTCTTCTCAGAATCTATGCTCTCCCAGGGGCTGCTCACTAGTTTCCATGGCTGCAACCACTGTCTGGGTGGGGATGATCCCCATCTGAGATCCAGAGTCGTGAGCTAACTGCCCAATGAGCATCTCTGTTCAGATGTCCCCTGGCAACTCAAACCACCAAGCCTACATCTGACCTGCCATTTGGTTTCCATTGTAAGGAAGAGCTCCACTATCAACCCAAGAGTTATAAACATCTATAATATAACCCATTTCCTAAACATCTCTTGCCTCTTAACCCCATCCAATTAATGACCTCATCTTGTCATTGTCCCTTGACTCTCTTCAGGTGTTCCTATCCCACTGTGCCTCCCATAGTGCAGGTTACCCACCACCTCTTGTCCCCATCAGGACAAAGTCTAGAGGGAATGTCAACAATGGTCATTCCTGGGATGGTGAGTATTATGGGTTGATTTGTGTCCCTCCAAAATTTGTTGAAGTCCTAACCCTACTATCTATGAATGTGACCTTTGGAAATAGAAAGTTGGCAGAATTATGATGAAGTCATTAGGGTGGTCCTAATGAAGAAGACAATGCCATGTGAAGACAAAAACAGGAACAACATGTAAGAACAGAGCAGAGATAAGAAGAGTGATGTAGCTGCAAGTCAAGGAGTACCAAGGAACACCAAGGACTGCCAGCCACCACCAGAAGCCAGGAAGAGTCAAGGAGACATTCTACCCAGTGTCTCGGAGGGACCACAGCCCTGCTGACATCTTTATTTTGAACTTCTGGCCTCCAGAGCTGTGAGAGTGTAAATTTCTGTTGTCTAAAGCCACCTGGCTTATGGTACTTCATTATGAAAGCCCTAGCATAGTGAGATATGGACAATTTTGATTTTCTTATTTATACTTTGCAGTATTTTAGAGATTATTTGTATGGGATACATAAGACTTTTATGATCAGGAAAAACATACTTATTCTTTAAAAATAATTCTCATTCATTGAGAATCCTAACCACCCCTATTGGATTTATCTCTGAGAATTGAACCTATCTGCACCCACACAGCTTACTGATCACATCAACATGGCTCTATTATTCCACTGTTTTCATCAACACAACTTCACTATTCCAGGGAACACTTGCCTAGGAAAATAAAAGTTGCAAATAAAAGAAGTTTATTTCAGGAACTTTTCATAATAAACCATTTAAACAAAGATCAAGTTGTTTGACTTTTTAAGAGCATCAAATGACTGCCTACTCTCCAAGACTTTCAGAACCCTTGCCTTGCTGTATCCACCAATCCTAAACCAGCGATCCTTCCCAATCTTAACCAATTTTAGTAATCTTAATGGAAGAACCTAAAATGGAGACATATCCCATCTCTGCCTTTGCATTTCTGAGATTTTCTAGGACTTTGTCAAGGGGGTGTACCCCTTCCCATGTGAGCAGGCATCTCAGCTCTGCCTCATCGGCAGGTTGATTTGGTAGAGTTTTTAGGCCTTCTACACCTAATATATCTGAAATATTGAGTTTATCAAATGCTTTCTATGTGCAGAGACTGAGCTAAGTACTTAATACATACCATTTCAGGGTATTTGCTAAATGAACTATTAAAAGATAAACTGAGGCATATTAAACTTTTTGAGTTTATTTGAGCAAAAATCAATTCAAATCAGGCAGCAGGTAGAAAGGAGCTCCAAGTCTATAAGATGAAAGCCTTTTATAGGCAGAAGGGAGCCAGAACAAGGAAGTTATACCAGACAAAAACGCAGGTTAGTTATTTCAAGGTTACTTTCTTTGAGGGGATGGCAGGGGTCCATCAGGAAGATTATTTAACTAGTGCTGATCAGGTGGCTTCTGTTTGACTGGTTTAAGATTCCATTTCTTGGAGGACCAGCACTGTAATTAAGTCTCAGTTTGGTGATGTGGAGCTTAGCGTAAGTGACTTCATTTTGGAATTGTTGTCTTGATTTTGACAAACGCTAAAAGGTTAGAAATGATCCCTGTTTTGTAGCTGGGGAGTCTCAGGCAACGTAAGTGGCATGCCTAAGGCCACACCATTAGTAACAGGGGAGCCTAGGTCCGTCTGATGGCAAAGCCTGCACTCTGAGTACTCTGCCTCTACAAATTTAGTGAGACTGTAACACAAAAGGTATCTATTCCATGCCTGACTATTTTTGGGAACTAACAGTACTCTGCTCTGACTTTCCTGATAACTGCTTCAAGTGGACAGACTCCCCTCCTAGAAGACCTCACTGGTGGGTTTCCTGAGAGGAGTCGCTATAGAGACCATTCCCATCTCACACAGAGGCAGCCCCTGGCCCCCAGGACTTCTGTTTCTCTGCTCAGGCCCGAGACTGTGAGCCACGGAAGGCAAATGGGCTTCGATGGAAAACAGGCAATTATTTCAGGCAGTCACATTTCCCACAAGGCACTGGTACAAGCTAGCAGGGAAGAAAGAGCTGGACCCTTTGTACAGCCAGCAGGAACACAAAGCTCATTGTTATGTTTATGCTTCCTTTATTCAGATGGCATGTGGTACAGACTCCATGCCAACCTGCAGACCGGATTCTTTCTTCCCCCTCAGTAGCAAATGTACATATTTGCTTTCAAGTAGGCAGAATTTGCCCATGGGTGGTCTTTGATTTGGAGGAAATCAACCCCAGAGTGGTGACTCACACACAAAAAAGGTAGCTTAAGTCATCCGGTGCCAGGAGGGGTATGTGTGTGCAGAATTCACTTACCCAGAAGAAGAAGTTGAAGATAAAGAGTAAATACTTCAGGTAGACAACCAGCCAGTCATCCTGCTCAGCCTTGTAATGGGCCATGGTAGCTGGGCCTGCAAAGAAGACACACGTGCTGGGCTGGGGGTGCACAGGGAACCATCTTGTCCTTCCCAGAGCCAGAGCTCCTTGGCAAGGTGCCCCTCAAAGGGCTGACTAGCCTGTCTGGTCAGGGGAGTCTGAGGCCATGGGTGTTAGACCCGGAGCAAAGAGCAGGGAAATGCAAAGGCTACTGACACATGGAGGTGAATTGGGCAGAATTGTCAAGATTTTGGTTTTGTCCTTTTGACACAGGTCTAATCTACGAGTCTTCCTAAAGACTTTGTGCTGGCCTTGTTGTGTTCTTATTCTCTCCCCTGACTCATCAGGTTTGCAGGACACAAGCTTACTTGTCTTACACACACACACACACACACACACAGCCTATACCTGCTTTGCATCAGAATCCTGCACTCTGCATCATTTGAGTAGGACCTCTGCATGCATGGGTGAGGCATGAGCCCCAAACCACAGCATCAGTGCTGGAAAGGACTTTAACAATTACCCAGTCCACCCCATCGTCCCCTGACAATTACCCAGTCCACCCCATGGTCCCCTGCACCTCCACTTTCCAAATGAGGAAGCAGGTGGGCAGGCTTAGTGTTTTGGCAGGAAGAGTACAAGGGCTCTGGAGTCTGACTCCCTGAGCTCACACCTGCGTCTGCCATAAGGTGTGTGACTTTGGATAAGTCCCATTCCTCGGTGTCCTCATCTGTAAATGGGGATAGTAATGATACCTACATTGCAGGGTTGTTTTGAAGATTAAGAAGGATAATCTATGAGAGGAGTTTAGCATATCTGTTAGCTATTATTATTACACGTAGCGGGATCAGAACCCAGGACTCCAGCACTAAAATTCCTAGTCTTTGCCCCGGAACCATGCTTCCTCTCCTTGCCCTCATGCCCACTGATGGACTCTCTGGAAGCTGTGACGTCAACTGGTGACAGAGGTGGAGAGATTCATTGTGCCCGGGAATCCCGTTTGCTTCTCAGTAAGTCTGAACCACAGCCTGAGTGGTTTCCTCTTCTCCTCGGGCCTCTCTCCCCAGCACCTGCACACCCACGCTCACACCCACAGAGAAGTGCCCCCTTAGGAAACCATCTCCCTTTAGGGAACCTCTTTTATTCTAGAACCAAGGGGCATGGGTTTGGCCCATTCCCATCTCTTTTCCCTCATTCCCCATCTCCGTCAGGCCCTCCTTGCCACCACCCTGCTCCTGCTCCTTGGCTGGTGCTGGTTAAGCCCAGGTCACTTCCTCCTGAGCCAGTGCTCTGCCTCTTATCTCAAGCTCCAGGGCTCCTGGGACAGGGAGAGCAGAAGGGAGAAACGAAAAGGTGGCTGTCTTATTTGGCCTTTCTATTTGCAGACCTTGAAGAGGTAATTTAAGACTTTTAGTCTTCTTGTTAAAAAAAGACAAAACCCATTTTTCTCTAATTTAGTCTGAGATGCAGGCTGGTGGAAAAAAACACAAAAGGAGAAAAAAGAAGCCTATAAAAAAGTTAAAAAAAATGGTGATAGATGGGGTCAGCCAGGCGACTGGAATGGGAGCTATTATAAGGTCCTTCTGCGGAGGCCTGGCAGAGCTCCTCTGGGCCGCTGGGGCCATTAGTGAAGTGACTGTTTGGGGCCCAGCCTCTCCCCTTCGCATTCTCCCCTCCATTTGCCTGCCCCTCCCCTCCAACCAGGCCCACTGGACTCATGCCATGGAGCATTCTCTAGACCTGCAAGCCAAGGGGTCAGGGCCCGCTCAAGGAAAATTGTATTTTTTGAAAAGGAGTTCAGACAAGATGTAACACAAAGAAACACATTTCTAATGGTAAAACCCCAGCCATTAGTGGTAGAAAAGATAGAACCACAGAGTGTCAGGGCGAGGGGAAACCGCCGGGCTCACTTTACTTCAGCCTCTGCCGAAGGAACGAGAAGTAAACACGTCTGAGTTAAGACATACATTTTTAAATGACCTCTCTGAAGTCACAGGCTAACGGTTGGTAGCAGTTTCCTACCCCCATTGTTCAGCGCTCTTTCCCCCCTGCGCCCATGGTATATGCAGTGCCCTGTGCTGGGTGGCAGAGGCCCCACAGAAGTGTCAGTGTCAGTGCCAGCGTGGAGCCCGGTGCTTGGGTCTGAAAGCTGGCCTTGAGGTGTGACCCGGGCCAAGGGACTCAATCTCCCAGTGGCCACACTCTTGGTTTTCCTTGTCCTCTCTGCTCTTTTGCTGGTGCCCTTTTTCTTGGTGGGTGTGGGTAACATAACAACCATGGGCTTTGGGGGACCTTTAACTGTCTTTTTTCATTTATAAACACACCATTGGATTCCAGAGAACCAAAAATTGCACCTTCCCATGGACATTGCTTAGGGGCGTGCCTGCTACTCCACACCTCTTCTGTTTCTCTTTCTCTCTTTAATGCTTTTAAAAACAAATGAGTATTTTTTTAATATAAATAACATTTTTAGATGTGAAAAAAATTATCTGGAGGGCTTGTTAAAACACAGATCACTCAGCCCCAGCCTCAAGGTTTCAGATTCTAGGCTTGGGGAGGGAGCCTGGGAATTCATTCCTTGGCAGGGTCTGATTTCCCCAGGACAGAGGGATTTCTCTGAGTAAGAGACCTTCAACGTTAAGCCTGCATAATCTTGGGCACACTGGGTGGTTGGTCAGCCTAGTCCCAAAGGTGGCTGATGCGGGGGTCTGGGGACCACACTCTGAACCAGTGTTCTTCAAAGCCCCTTCTGCTTCTGCTTGTCCAGGACCCCGCATGTAATTAATTATCCTCTGCCTCTGAGCAGGCATAACTGAGCGGGGTAGGGGTGGAGCATCACATTTAGGACAGTTCCCGATGAAATGCCAAAGATTTCCCACACAGCCTGGTAATGCAGCCTCAGGGCGCCGGCCCCTCAGGCCAAGGCTCTGACTGCTGAACAAAGCTGGGATTCAGGACAGCCAGCAGGCTGGGGGCTGGGAACGGCAGACGGGACCCACACCATAGGCCATCTCAGAAAAGCAACTGCAGATGCCTTCATGGTGAAGTGATGGATTTGCGGGACTTTCATCAGGGCCGGACATGTAGCGTCATGGGCTGTGGGACTTGGGCATTATCATCTCCTCTACGGCCCCAACCTCAAGTGAACTGAATGAGCCTCACAGTGCAGAGAGGATGAGGGACATGCAGAAAGAGCCCAGCTGGCCAGATGTGTTGGTGAGCAGAGCAGGCTGAGTCCTTTCATGGTGATGGGTGGCCCGAGTTGGGGGGTGGGTGGGGCAGGCGGGGAGTGCTTGGGAACTGACTGCATACATTGCACATGAATACAAAGCACTGTTGGCATCTGGGCCAGTCTCATCCTTTACTCATTCAACAAGCATGCACTGAGGCCCCAGCTTGTGCCAGGAGCTGTGCTTAGAAGGTTGGAGTTCATCCTTAAGGAGCTCATAGCCACGTGGTAACACAGAGGAAGTGGCATTAATTCTGCCGGGTTGGGAGGGGGTGGAGGGGCAGATAGGGGCATTTAATCTGATCCTTGTGGACAGGCAGAAAAGGAGGGAGGGATGCTCAGGCAGAGGGAACAGTGTGAGAAAAGGTCTGGAGGTATGGCTGGGCCCAGTGGCCTGGGCTGCAGAAAGACCGAAAAATCAGGGTGGGGGTCCAGGGCAATCTTGTTGGCCATGTTAGTTCAGGTTGAGGGTGCCCTGACTCTCCATTCCCTAAGCGGAGACCACCCCTTACCAGGGGAGGCTCCCGGGGAGCTTAGTGATTCAAACAAAAGCAAAACCACGCCCCACCCCAGCCCCACCGCTTCAGGTAAAGAAGTGCCAGTTTCCACCTCTGGAAACCATCATTCAGCAAGAGGCCCTGCTGAATGATGGTCAAAAACAGCTGGAAAGGAAACAAGCCTAAGTGGTTTAATGTGTAAATTAATTTTCGCTTTTAATGGAACCTGGTTGCAGTCCTGCAAGGTGTGGTTCCTTCCCCACGCAGACAGCCTCGTCCTTCTTTGTCCTGATCTCCCTCTTATTTAATTTCCACTCTTTTGGCCCATTCCTGGTGGGGGATGGTCCATCTGAAACAGTCACAAAAGTGGAGCTTCCTCAGATCCTCCGAATGGGATAGTTGGAAGGAGCCAAAGGATCTCTGGCTCGGCCCCTTGGAGAACTGAGGGAGCCGAGTCCAGGGGCGGGGTCCATGGGGGAGTCTCACTGCCCATTAGCGGCAAGGCAGGGACCTGGTCTCCTGTCACTATAACCACCAACAAGATTTTGATTGGCTAATGTATTAATAATATTAATAATGATTTATTAAGTGTAACTAGAAACTGAGCTATATCCATTAATTTAATACTTAACTCTTTTAGACCAAACTTAGGGTTTGATTGCTAACTACAGCATCATGTGGATGAGACTGTAGGCAGAACTTGAATTAAAATTCTAGAACTAAGACTTCCAGTCTTTATGCTCTGAGATATGTTTTCCTAAGTACATGACTCTATTTTTCACTTCATTTGTGAGTGCCCACATGCATTATCTGGATCAGTCAGGGCTCCCTCATAACCCTAGACAGGTGGTTTGGCTTCTCCTTATTCTCTGCATTTATACATGTACAGAGTCTTGGGAGGTTCTGCCTGTAGATGGGTATCACCCTTCGCTGTTTTTCCTGGGTCCTTGTTTTTAAATTGCAGTCTGACCCATGAAATGAGGATTCCCCAGTGTTATGACAAGAATCAGTGAACAAACAAAACATCACTAGGCAGCAGGTTAGAAGATCTGGGTGTGAATACCAGCTGTCACCTACAACAGTATGACCCTGGGCAAGTCGCGTGACCTCTCAGGCTCCAGCTTCCTCCTCTGTGTAAAGGAGCTGATGTTGGTCCAGCTTTGTATCCCTTGTAGGGTGGTTGTGAGGATCAAATGGGATGGAGAATTTGTAAGAACCGTGTGCAATGCAATTTTACAGCTTCAGTGTCACACAAGGGTGAAGAGATTATTGCCACCAACTCCTTAAGAATGAAGGGCATCGCCTGGGT